CGTGGTTCGTTTCTTCCGCCTCTTGTTATACTTTACATTTCCCTTTTTTTGTTTGAATTTGAGTTATCGAATTAGCCAACGATGTTTCTTTGTTCTCGTTCTCATGAAACCCTAACATGCCAAAAAAAGAGCAAAAATGTTTGCCAGAGCTAGCAAGTCTTTTGCATTTACATCCAAGATGTTTACAAAACCGCTCGTTCTCATGAAACAATGTTTGGTTGTGTTCCTTATAATCATTTATGATTATAAATATTGTTATCCTTATGATTAGAAGACACCAATAATAATAATTTATGATTATAACTATTGGCAGCATAAACGATGAGAGGAACAGTTATAATCATTTATGATTATAACAACATATGATTTGATACTAATCATTCATTTAATATTTTTTTGATCATTTTATTGTATTTTCATGGTATTGTCATTTTGTAGATATTAATCAACGAAAAATGAATGTTGAAATTTCTTTAGGTATCACTACTACTCGTTACACAAGTTCGCGAGCCATTTGATTCAAATAGAAGAATGAGGTTGCGATTGATTCAAGAAAATGGTTGACACAGTGATGAATTTTGTAATTTTTTTCCGTTGAAGTGGTTTAATCATTATTGAATATAATCATGTATAAATGTAAGAAATTAGTTTTGACATATTCATTTATGAATATAAATATAGAAATGTATAAACTCAATCTTTGGAAAATTTATTTATCAATATAATAGTGTTTGATAATGAATTATTAATGTATTGATTTTTTTATTTGTTAGTATATTCATGTACGATTATTAGTTTTTTTATTCATTTGTAAATGAAATTTCTTTATCTCTAAATTATGTTTTATTCATTTAGGATCACAATCATATGTTTTTATAATTACAGATGTGTTTTATTCATACATGATTGGAAATATTCTGATGAATTATAATTTAAAAAAAAAAGTCGATTTTTTAATTTGAGTGAAAATAAATACAAATTATTTTTATCATCCATAAATAAAAAAATAAAAAAAAATGGTTAACCTTTTATTTTAGGTAAATGTAATCAATATCGCTAAATTTTAGGAACTTAAGATTTGAATTTAATTTGTTTTAATTTAATTAAATATACAATTACTAATATGCCCTTATGAAATGATTGGTCCAGAAGTGTTCTCGCGTTCTCAACCTTTTTGGTGTTCTGATTTGATCCTTACTCACACACACACACTCACTCTCTCTCTCTCTCTCTCTATATATATATATATATATATATATATATATATATATATATATATATATATATATATAAGAGAAAGATAAAAAAAATTGTGATTGACAATCGGTGAAAACTAGTTACTAAAAATCCCATTGGGGTTTTTTAGCAGTACCTATGATCGATTACTATGTATATTGATCTACTAAGACTAGATGGAGTGGCTTCGATGGAGCTTGACAATTGCAGATGTGGCCTCGGGGAACACCGCCACACCTATTCGGTTTGTTTGCTTAACTCGGCATGACAACTCGGTATATGTTTATGGATGAGAGAGAAAATGACTTTGAATTTGAAGTTGTAATAATAGTCCTTGGAAATTCTCTTTTATTTCATTTTTCTATCCTAAAATTAAAACGAAAAATACTATATTTACCCTTCAACTTTATAAGTGTTGATATTTGATTTATTCTCTTTGATATTATAAATATTAACACAAGGTAACTTTGGGTATGCGAGTACACACATGTGTACTTGCTTATGCCCCATTTACAAACACCCAATGTGTGAAGTTCATGTTTAATCCTTCAACTTTGTATAATTTGTCACCTGTAATCCCTCTGTTTTGTAAATGTTACTTTCACCTCTCCAAGTTTCTATACTTTGTAAACTATATTTTCCACCCCTCTATTATTTAAAATGCTACTTTCACCTCTTCAACTTTGAACTTTATAACATGTCACTCTTATCGCCTCCATTTTACAAGGCAACTTTAGGTATGTGAGTATGTGTATTGTAGCTAATAGTACACATGCTTATGTACAATTTACAAGCACCAAATGCGTGAAATTCATGTTCAATCCTTCAACTTTGTATAATATGTCACCTGCAATCTCTCTGTTTTGTAAATGTTACTTTCACCCCTCCAATATTTTCTACTTTGTAAACTATATTTTTCACCTATCTATGTTTTAAAATGTTACTTTCACATCTTCAAATTTGAACTTTATAACATGTCACTCTTACCACCTCCATTTTATAAATTTTCGACTTTATTCTCCGTAGTAAATATAATATGATTTTCTTTAATAACATTCGTTCGTTAACTTAAAAAGACTAAGTTTTTATTTGCTTTTGTTATGTATGTAAAATAAAGGTGGTGAATGTTTGGACGTATTCAAATTCGAGGTTGTCTACGTTTCGACTTATTTATTATTATTATTTGTTTTATGTTTTGATGCTTATTTTATGTACATTCCTACGTATAAGTCGTGTCATATATAATACGTTTTTTGCTATTTGAACTTTCCTTCATTTTGGTATAAATTTGATTTTATTTACTATTTGATCTTTTCCTTTGTTTGGGTACAAATTCGATTTTATTGGCAAGATAAATAAATTTACTTACCTATTTTTTTATGTCCGTATCGGTATAAATTCGATTTTATTAAATTTTTCATATAAATTTTTTATACTTTTACGTCGTTTTTTTATCTAAATGGAAGTGGTGGCACATTATTTTGGTCCAACTTTAAACCTTTTCTTTTGGTTGTCTTTGTTAGGCATCTCCAACCCACCCCCAAACTTTATTTCTTCCCCCATTTTCACCTCCATTTTTGGAGATATGAATAGTATTCCCCCATATATGGGGGAATACTATTCATATCTCCAAAAATGAAGGTGAAGTTTGATTGCCACTTTTAGTCCTTCTCATTTTTATTTTATACATTTCTAGTTTATTTTTATCTACTAATTATAATTTAAATGCAATATTTAATATTTATAATATTATGTTATATACTAATTTATATTAATTAATCATAAATATAGAGTTTAATTAGTAGAGGGGTGTATTTGACAATATATATAAGTTATAAAAATGAAATATTCTAGGAATATATTTTTGGGGTAAAAAATGGGATAGAAAATAGAGTAGGGTTGGAGATGAAACACTATTTACTCCATTTTTTACTCCATTTATGGGGTAAAAAATGAAGATGGGTTGGAGATGGTCTTAGTCTTTATTTTTATACCATTATCATTTATGTACTATTCAAAAACCATCAAACTTACAGAAATAATCTATAAAACTCTTCTCAACTTTTGATAAATCATCCAACACTCATTTCTTTTAACCTTTTGGTGTTTTTAGAAGTTGTGTTATCTAAAATTCTAATACAAATAAAATGTTGTACATTTGATAAAATGAAGGCACGTCTCAATGTTTACCGAATTAAAAATATGATGATATGTTGACACGTAAGTAAAATAATATTAAATTCAAATGTATTTGAACTTTCAATATACTTCTTAAATGTACGCTATTATTTCTGAAATATAAACCTTTTAAACATATAAATTTTTTTTATTTTCCTATTAAAAGTTTTAATTGATTGTAATTAATGTCATATTATTCAAATGTTTAACTATTTTAGTATAATTAATTATTAACTAACAAACGTTTTTTTATTTTGCTTTGAAAATTTTGATAAAACTAGATAATTTTTTTAAAATTTAAATATAAAAAGTTCATATCGAACCAATATAAAATTTACTGTATGTAAAACTAAAAATATGTTTCAATTTTGGTTTCATAATATAAGTTCAATAAAACTAATATTAGTTTGATATAAACTTTTGATATTTAATTTTTAAAAAACTAAGTGTTATCAAATTTTGAATATATATTTATATTTTATATGTTTATAATCTTAAGGGTTTTTTTGCAAAATATTTGTAAACTGAAGGGTTTTTTCGCAAAAAATAATTCATGGTAACCTGGAAACCTGCTATTACAGGTAAAAAGGGCAAAACCGACAAAAAAATAACAAATTTGCGGTATAAATGAACAAAAAATCTGCCGAAGGGTAAAATCGATATTTTCTGTCAAACTTAAGGCTTTTTATGACATTATCCCATTAAAATACAATTTAAATGGACAATATTGCCCTTGCTTGCTAACGCCTAATAGATTACGTTTTCTCCCCCATATCATTGCTCGACCCTTCCTGCCTGATACTTCCGATTGTTCTTTTCCTACAATCGTTAATTCATCATTAGTTCCAAGCCGAGTAACTTCTGATTGTTTGATCACCATTGTCATGACAACATTCTTGTCCTTGCCTTTTCTCTTTTTGTGTTCTTCAAGGGCTTGTTTCAACCCGATTCTGCAATATAAAGAAACCAACATTGTAAGCTTCAGATTCAAGGAAAACTTGTTGCATTGCATTCATATAGATACTTAATGTTTACTCAAGAACCTTCCATTCAGATTTCATAAACCCCCCAAACACTTAAAACATAACCCTAATTCTTTGAACCAAGTGCATCTCAGAAATCAACTTAACACATTACAGATAATATACGTAGCATTATACTATAACAATAATAAATAAAAACGTCATATTTATGACTACTCTATCTGGTTAAAAACCAAAAGTAGAAAACATACGCTTAAGGAGAGATATCAGTGATAACGATCGCTGGAATCAATGAATCAATAGTAGAAGGCGACCGTGGCTTTACTGAGGTTGGGCAGACCTAACGGCTGGGTGCCGATGGTTAAAGACGTCACCCGTGAGAGGCACGACGGAGAGAAGGGCAGGAGAGAGCTACGATTGGAACTACAACAGGTTTAGAATATGATAGTCCTTTTGAGTTCTTGTTGAACAAATCAAACAACAACATAATCGAAATCGAAATTGAGGAAAGGGAATTGAATCGCATATTATTTACCTGATGTGTGTGTGCGCGCGGACAACAGGGGAAACACGATCGGACCGATTGGAAACAGAGATTGTAGGCAAAGAACAATCGGAAGTATCAAGCAGGAAGGGTCGATCGATGATATGGAGGAGAAAACATGATCTGTTAGGCGTTAGCAAGCAAGGGCAATATTGTCCATTTAAATTGTATTTTAATTATAATGATTTAATATTATGAAAAACAATTATAAATCAATAAAAATTACAAAAAAATAGATTTTGGTATATATGATATTTAAAAACATTAGGAAGGGCAAATACGATATTTGCAGTTTAGGCCGGACAAATACTATATTTAATTGTTTAGGGATACCATATACCAAATTCTCCCATGAAAAAAAAAAAAAACTCCAGAACAAGGCGTTAGGAATTGGGATTAGGGGACCTCCATAAACACTTTCAAACCCTAACCTTGCGCCGCTTCGATCTTCTCCTCCCTGCGAACCCTACCAAATATGATTGAACACCGCCGGTGACTGCGGCTGAGATAACTCTATAACACCTCCGTAAACCCCACTGCGAATTCCAGAAATGGCGTCAGGCAAGGCTACTTCTGATTTCGCTGATGGTCCAGTCCTCGCTCGTATCAACAAGCGTATCCGCAACCTAAGAAAAAAACTCAAACGAATCACGCAGCTCGAAGACTCCATCGCTCAAGGAAAATCCATTATCAAGAACAAGGAGCAGGAAGAGCTCCTCAAATCAAAGCCCGCGATCATCGCCGTGGTTGACGAACTAGAGAAGTCCCGTCTGCCCCTATCCGTGGCGGTGGATGAAGAAATCACTCTCGCGCGGCAACAAGCGGCTTTACCTGTTGATGATCTGCTGAGTTTGATTTACTTTGGATAAATGTTTGATGCGAAACAAGTTGATGTGGATTCGAGGGTGGACGAAAGATGCTGGTGTGTGGCACATAATAGTATTCATCGTTTTCGACATGGTTCCGGTTTCGCACTGGGAGAGCGGCATTTGGATGCGATCTCAAGGCTGAGCTCTCTAATGATTTCCAGACCCGTGGATTCTAGTCGTACTTCCCATCAAGATGCGTTGCAGAGATGCATTGAGCACGCCAATAATTGGATTTGCAAGTCTGAGAAGAAGATTGATCCGAATAGCGAGTTTACTTGTATGATACCATAGTCAATATACAACTTAATTCAAATTATTTGTATGCTTACATAAACTGAGGATAAAATGTTTGTTTTACAGATTCTGATGTGAGAGAGATGGTGACAAAGATTATGGGTTTAGGTTTCTTCAAAAATACTCCATTTGCTGGACTTGATAAATATGATCTAGGGCAGGATCGTTTGATGGGTATTGATAAATATGATCTAGGGCTGGATCGTTTGATGGGTTCAGAACATCTAGAAAAGGTATAACTGTTATTTTCCTATTTATTTTGAGTACCAAAACAAATGTTACACTGGTTCTCAAGGGGATGAGAATAAATGTTTACAATCCTTATATGCATAAAGACGAACCAATTATGTTCTATTCTCAACTAGATCTTGAATGTTAACAGATGTGATTATGACTTGAATATTGCAGGTTATTTAATTCTTAATGCTATTTAGAATTTAGATGAACCTTAGTATGCCAGTGTTCTCAATAGGTGTTTTTTAGTAGAGAATGGTCTGGTAAATAATTCTATCTTCAGGACTTGCCACACCTGTACCTTCTGGTGTAGATATTGTACTAGGTGCCAAGTCGCAATTTGGGTGCAACATACTTTATCATTTTTTTTTCCAAAATAGACAATGTACTTTGTTATTCTTTCCACAATAATAAGTTGCAACTGATTTTGGTATTTGTAGTCTGTTTGACAGGCTGATTATAATGTTGACTTGTGGAAAAAAGCCGATGTATTGTATTTGTTTTTCTAAACTTGTTTTTTTAATTATTACTTAGTTACTTTCCATTGATTTTGCTGCTGCCTCCTCTTTTCCGAAATCGATACCAAATATTTGTATGTTTGATTGCCTAAATTTCATTTTGTTATGTTACATACTACTGCATGAATATGTTTGATTGCCTAAATTTGCATATTTCTTCTTGGTATCATGGGTTGAAGGTAAAGTACTATGCCTGTATTGGTAAAAATGATAAGATATGTTGCTATATGTCACAGTTTGCCCAAATAATTTCAGCCTGATTGAGGCTAGTTAAAATCATGTATTCATGTTCAAATCCAAATGTATTCATTCTTCCTCGAACATGCTGTAATGACTTGATATAATTTTTATAATATCTTGTGATTCTGAAAGCATATTTTTTGAATAGAGTTGAGATTTATTAATAACATGAATTGCTTTGTTTGGCAGAATGAAATTACAATCGGGTATTATAGTTCTGATTTCGAGGATGATGGTGATCCTTTGTGGGACTGTCTATCAGGGCGTGGCAGTGACTAATGCACACCCTGGAGGGAGAGGGACCCACACCCCCTTTTACTTAGTTTAACCCAAGTTTGTTTCAAAGTTTCAAAGTTTATGTGAGATAACTGACATTCCTTTTTAATTTGTTTTTTTTCCTGGTTTATATATATATATATATATATATATATATATATATATATATATATATATATATATATAATATATATATATATATATATATAGTACTAGATACGTTTTGAGGCTGATGCTAAACATGAACCATTAAGGGTAATCTGGATCTTTTCTTCACCATTGTCTAAATCTATGATGAAATGTATGTACAATAAGGGTATTCTTTTGTCCATGTAGAATTAGCCTGTGCTGAATTGGATCCCCACATCATTCACAGGGCCGGCCATTCATTCACAACCATAAAAAATGGATAAGAACTAGGTTAAAGAATTATAAGAACTGATTGACTGATTTCGGTAATGATTGAATCAAAAGGAAGTTTTACAAAAGGTTATTGGCTTTGAGACGTCGAGTCTCTCTTAGAGGTGCAACTTCTAGCTGAATACAACTAAAGATACCCGCCCCCTAACATGGATCTCCAATTAAAACTCTTAAGTAGACAGGCCTAAGAGAATGACCAAAATACCCCTCAATCTCCCGATTATTACAACTACTGTACTTCTAGTTATTTTCTACCTTTAAAAATAACTATAAAGTGTAAGAGAATGATGTCGAGTTTTATAAGTGAAAAATAAATTATACATTGTCGGGTTTATCTTAGGGGCTGTCTGATATTGATGCTAACTCAGCTAGAAGGAGGGATTCGGTCCTCAATCAGAAGTTGATGTGTTTGATTTTGCATGTTCATTGTCAGACTCGATCAAAAGAAAGGACTTGTTACAAAACTAATTGATGACTCGGCCTCATACTGAGTTTTGCCTTTCAGTCGGTCGCAAATTACACGTTTTACCCCTTGTCCTTGACGCAGTTCTTCATTGAATTAGGACCAAAACAAAACCGAAAAGGGCCTTACACTGCTAAAAAAACGCAGCAAAGAAGAGCGAGAGAGTGCGGTATTAGGTAGAGAAAGTAGCGAGACACTGAGATCAATACCTTATAATGAAGCAATCGCTAAATGATCGCCGATTTCGTCTTTGATTCTGTCATTATTCTCATTGGTCACTTCTTGTTACACGAACACACCACTTGCAGGTGAGAGAAAACTTGGGAATAAAGCCAGATATGACAATAATAAGGAAGCCAAAATAAATAAATAAATAGCTTTCATTTTTCATTAAAGCCTTTATATGTTTATGTTATTTCCATAAAATCACAGTTAATAGTATTTTATTTCATTTCAAGAAATACAAGAGAGACAATTGGACATGTAGGTTAACAAAAAGGGACCTTGTGGATAATTTTATTCTATGATCCTTTGATTTTAGACAATTTTTTTATTTAGATTCTTTATTCATAAATAAATGACAAGTTAATTTTTTTTTTGGAACGGCAAATGATAAGTTAATTAAAAAAGAAATTGACAAGAATGACAATTACAAAAATTAATTGATAAAAGATAAATAAGAAATTAAAAAAATAGAACTATGAAAATTAATATGATAAAATAATGTGTTGTAAATATGAGGGTAAGAGTAAATTACTGAAATCGTCCCTATGGTTTGGTCAAAATTGCACGTTTGGTCCCTAACTTTTCTTTTGCACTCGGATCGTCCCTATGGTTTGATTTTGTTGTGTTTTTCGTCCCTTGGATACATAAAGTTAGGAGCCAAATGTGTAATTTTAACCCATCCATAGGGACGAAAAACGCAACAAAATCAAACCATAGGGACGATCCGAGTGCAAAAGAAAAATTAGAGACCAAACATGCAATTTTAATTAAACTATAAGGACGATTTCAGTAATTTACTCTAAGGGTAAAATAATGATTTTTATGGTTTAGTAAAGATAGTGAGACATATAATCAAACAACGTGGTTTCAGTCAGAAGGTAACTCAATCAAAATTTGTAACACAGTCAATTTCCAACTCAGTCAGTTCTATTCAGTTAGCAACTATCAAACGACCCCTTAGTGAAGTATAGCAATAGAGTTTCCATATTCGAGATCTCTTCGACTCCATACTCTATATCCATGCCTAGACCCATGTACGGTTTCAACTATAGATCATGCATTTAACAACCATCAAGTGGCCTGAAAAAATATAACATTAAAAAATGGAAAGGTTTTTTTTTTCTTTTTTTTTTTTGAAATTCCTTATATATATATATATATATCTATATATATATATATATATATAATATATATATATATATATATATATATATATATATATATATATATTATATATATATATATATGAACCGACAAATAGATAGAGGGTAACCCGACCCGATGGATCAGGAATGCCTGACAGACCACCAAGAGGGGCACCACTCACCACCAAAGGGAACGAAGAATCGAACCCACGCCAATCCAGGTAAAATCCCCCAAATGTGCTCAGCCAAGAATCGAACTCTTGACCTCACCCACTGAGACCTATAACCCATGATGCATCACAAGCAACTAGGCTGGTGATCACTTGCTTGAAATTCCTTTTAAGTTTAATAAATACATTGTTGTTGCTATTTAGTGAAGACCTAACCCCTAGTTTCCGATTTGAAATAAAGAAAAGAAAAGAAAAGAAGAGAAAAGAAAGTAAATAGAGAAAAGAAGAGAAAGTAAATGAAAATAAAATTTTCTTTTGTGTTCCCGAATTGGAGAGAAGTTGAAAGAAAGTTAATCATTTTGTTCTTTCTTTCAAAATCCTTCCAAATTTGAAGGAAAGTTAGGAGGGAAAGTGATCATTCCATTTCCCCAAACTTCCTTCAATTTCTTCATTTATTGATACTCAGTAACACCCATTTCTTTTATTTTCTTCTCATTTCTATAGTGTCGATTGAATCGAGTATTTAAAAAAAATCAGAGTATGAAATGATTTAGAACAAGTAATCTAAATATAATCTGTTTGGCACGATATTATTGCTTATCAGTTGAATACAAGAGATTCAGAGAGAATACGAATACAATCAGAGAAAAGTTCTTCACCCCTAAAAGTATCCTTCCCATATTTATAGGGAAAACTGAAAGCACAAAAAGTATAAGGACTTTCGACTCTAAAGCTTCGAAACTAAATGTAAGTCCTTAAAATAAAATACATTCAACTATTCAACATACAAGACAAACTAGAAGCCTTCGACACATCAGAACCTTCGAATCCCAACATTCTCCCCCTTTGTGATAAGTGTCGAATCTAGGTTGTGAATAGTTGAGCAGCTTGGTGTAACACTCTTCTTATCTCAGTGTACCAGTTGAAAATCTTCTGAATCTCTGCTTTCTCCTTGTCATTATTCTTTTCACAACTTTTCATTTGAATCGGCAAATTGGTGTAGTGCGAAGAAGTGTATTTTTCAATGTCGTTTATTTGAAACATAAATTTTGTCATTGTACCCTTCTTATTCTTTCCCACGAACACAATCCCCAAGGGCTTCAAGCAAATCTCCCCATCTTCGTAATCTTTAAAAAAAGACTGATTTTTGATCATCGACTTGGGAACTGTAACTTTCTTATTCAATGTTGTAGCCAGATCAATACCAGTTAAGGCCAGGACTCCATAGTAACCATCAATGAATACCCTCAAGTGTTCGAACCCTATCATAAAATCTTCTTTGTTTACTTGTTGAAGCTTCGAATAATCATTCGACTTCAAGATCTTCGCAACAATCAAAAGATCATATAGGTTCATCAGTGAGATGTCAGCAACGGAGAAGTCAAACACCACATCGTTTGCCCTTACTGCAACGTATCTATAATTCTGTAACATTCCCTCGAATAACATATCCTTGGTAACGTTAAGAATTCGAACACTTTTAACTAAAGACCAGACTGCATCTTCATTCTTTCCCAAGACTGCATGGAATCGATACTTTATGCGTCTAAACTCCTCCTTATCCTTGAACTTGTTTGCAAGCTCGAATTGCTCATCACGAAACATCATCAGATTTATTAGAAAATCTAACTGATTGATATCAGTGTTCTCAATGTCATAACTCTTTTTAGGAGTCTTGCTAAATGAATGCATCCCCCCAGACAGAACTGTGGCTTCGATGTATTCATAGTTATAATGCTTAGCAGGATCACCCTTGTTCAAACCAGGAGGATCATTATCTCTGATTCGGAGTATGCTTTGAATTTGCCTTTGTCTCTCCATTTCTTGCTCTAAAGCTGCTTTCTTCTCTTCAGCCGAGGGTTCATGTAAGACACCCTTCCCTTTATTTTGTAACTGCTCTGTGGTAGGAGGAGGTTTCGAACTTGACCCTCCAGCAACAAAACCACCAATAACGATTCCTTTTGCTATAGGCCTCGTTGTTGTTGTTGTTGTGGAAGTCGAAATCGTTGAAACATTAACAAACGAAGTTGGAATCTGAGTTGAAGAGACTTTACCAACTGCCTTCACATCTTTGTCATTCTTATTTGAAGAACTGCCCCCAGTTCCGAACACTGATCCCCTGCCAACACCAATCTTCTCTCCCCCCTTGCACCCCTGTGTAAACAGGTGGGGCATCCGTTGGCATAATAGTCAACAACTTCGAAAGCGGTGCTAACTCCTTGTGAATCGAAGATTCAAGCAAAGAAAACTTCTCTGAAAGAAGCTCAAGAGTTATCAACGAAGATGAGACCAAATTTGTTTTGAGGACCAAACCCTTCAATTCCACCAACAGTTGGTTAAGGTTTGTAAAACTTTGAAGATCATCAACAACCATCTTGTCAACCTTCGGACTAAGTGCTTCATACAACTTGACAAATTTTGTAAGCATATCCGCAATAAGATCAACCTTCTGATGCAGAGAAGAATAATCTTGTTGTAACACAACAACCTCTTTGCCCATATCCTCTCTTAGTTCCTGAAGTTTGAAATTAACATCTTCACGAACTTTCTTCACATCCCGAATAAACAAGATATGCCTCTCCTTCGCAACAACCTTTAAGTCTAACAAGTTAGAATTAAAAGTAGAAGACTGTGACTTCACCCGTTTCTCATTGTTGCGATCAACATCTTGAATAGCTTCATGAAGTCGATGTTCTTGGCATTTT